TCGACGGCGGCAGCGCGCCCACTAGGTGGGTGCTCCGCTAGTTAGAAATACCTGCCGAGTGTCCAGTACAGTATATATCCCTTCCCCGGATGTATCCCCGTATCGTCCATATCCTGATTGTGTCTGAGTTTTTGGCCTCAACACCGCCGTTCTTTCTTCCTGACAAGCAGCCAGCATCCAATGACAGCGCTGCATTTAAAGGGGGGACGTGGGATAAGAAGGAGTGGATCCTAACACACTGGGATCTGGACTGGACCACGTGACTCATGGCCCGAGGACCTAAGCTTTTTAAAGCAGTGCTCGATTAACCCATTTCTCCTGGCTCTAAAAGTGTTTTGTGTTTCCTAACTTTGATTGGTTATAGCTTAACTAGCTGCATATTTATTTAAGAATATGCACACAGTGTCAGTTGAAATATTAATGGTATTAAAATAGTTTTTGACACAGGGCCGCTGTAGCCTACAAGATGTGGGAAATTTACCTTAAAGCTATTCCATTTGAGTTAATATTATTCAGTAAATCTAATCGGTACAAACTTTGCTACACAGTGGCCCTGGAGCGTTGGGGGCCTCTGAGGCTTGTTTTGAAGAGGCACTGGTCTGAAACTGTGAAGGATTAGGAAGAACAGTAGGGTCACATGAAATATGTGAAAAATGTAATGAATTTCTCCCAACATTCATAAAGTCAGAACATGTCATAAATACATCATATGGTTCATATCTTTCACGTTATAATGCAAGAAGCAAAGCAATTATTGGGATCTGTTTGAACCTTTTTCCCTATTGTATATTCAATTTTAACATGTGCAGCAAAATAAAAGTCAAACTCAAGAAAAAGTCAATGACTGTATTCTAAGAGCTCAGTCTTTTTTAATTAGAATGAAGCATATTGTATTGAAGATTGGTCTGCAACAATGTTTAGGTAGGTGGTATGTTTCTAAGTAATACCCACATGAATGCCAAGACCCAAAGTTTCCTAGCAGAACATTGCACAGAGCTAGTGCTGGGAAGTTCAGTTCTTATGATTACCCAGCATACATACTGATTACTAGGCAACATGAATCAAACCTATTCAAGGTTTTCAATATTCAGTACATACACCTATATGGTCATTACAGGGCAGGCAAACTGTGTGCTGCCTGATTGGTACCTAATGAAAATGAAACATTTTCTAATCCCCCCATTGGTATCTGCTTTATTTAGCTGATCCTGTGCAACATAATAAAATGATTTATTGTGTGATATTATTGGTTTTTCTGTATGGAGCAGCCTTAGGCAAGGCCTTATTAAGTGTGACCCTGCCTACCTCTGTGATTATGCAGCCCCATGTGCAAAGCTGTGATGCACTGTGAGGAGTCCTAAGCATTTAAAGAGCTCATGGCATGCTTTTCCTTCTTTTTTGACTTATCTACAATGTTACAATGGTGAATTATCATCTTAGACGTGACCTAAAGCTAAAAAAAAAAGAGGTACAAACGGGTACTGTGCTCTGGGGGAATTCCATGTTGATGAACTGATCATTTACCTCCCCAAGGTGCATCACTGTCTGACTGCTTGGAGGTTTCCAGTCACTCCATTCTTGCCACGTTAGCCCTGGCCAGGTAAAACAGTGGGTCCCTGTATATGAACATTCCTGGACATGCAGTAACCTCAGGCCCTGTATTTTTCTCCACTTCCTCTGGTCACAATGCAGGCAGCAGGAGGTAAAATAGATTCACAAACCGCACACAGTCAAAAAAATTCAGCTTTTACAATGGCACCAGTGGATGTCAGGCAAGATTGCATGAATGCGCAACTGCCTGGAGATTGTGACCATTCAAGGAAATCCATAAGCTATTGCGTAAGATGTTACATTATTGGAAAAAAAGTCTCACCAGCCAGAGTTTGCGAGACTTGTATAAATGGAGCTGCTTCTGCATAGAAGTACAACAACATTAGTACACCTTGATTTTTTGAGCTTTCAGTCATGTTTAAGATGATAATTCATTGTTGTAACATTGTAGATAAGTCAGAAAACACAGAAAAGCACACCATAGGTTCTTTAACATTTGTGGAGTCATTAACACCTTGAGAGCTAATAAGGTCACATGTGAGTCATCGCCCTGGGGAGAGAGGTGTTGTAGACCACCTTTCCTGTTTAGTGTTGGTTGTTCCAGTTTGACACAGATTGCTTCTTTCACTCCTGTTTCACACTGTCTTCTCTGGGCAAGATGTGTACATTGAGAGGAGTATACCTTGTCCTTAAGAAGCAGATGAACTACTGAGTCGTGTCCTGAGGCTCTCCTGTCTTTGTGCCATGTGCTTGTGGGGTGGTGGTTTTGTTTCTCCAATGTACAAGCTTTGGCATTCCTTTTACATTGAACTGCATTGCTCTGCTTATGTCTGGGTGTTTTGCCCTTAGGGTGGACCAGCTTCTACCTCAATGTGTAAACTGGGATTGAAATGCAGAAAGATGTGGTGTTTGTCAAAAATCTTCCCGAGTTTTTTCAGAAACTCCAGCAATGTATGAAATGACAATGTTGTGAACAACATTTACACACTGTGGTTTGACTGATCTGAGCGCAGTATAAATACAGATTATAAAACTTTAATAAATGTGCACATTTGACTGACAGCTCCAGCTGAGCAGCCATCAGTCAGAAGGAGACGTAGTTTCATATGATGGCTCAGAGGAAAAAACATCTCATTTATCTAAAGGCATATTTCCTTTTTTCCTCTCCTCTCATATGTTTTCCTGCTTTTTTGCATCTCTCCTCTTCAGTGGGAGGAATTAAGATGCAAGTAAAACACCCAAGTGAGGGAAACATGGATGCAATCAAGGGAAATGAGATGCACTGTATGAAGACAAACAACCAGCTGACATGCCTGTGTCATATTTCTGGGTTCCAACAATTAGCTTGTCTTGACCATAGCTGGCAAAGTGTAGAACTGCCAGAGTAGAGATTTCATTTGAGATCATGTTTCCAGAGACTAAAAACCTATAATAACCAAATGGCATTTTGGTTTTCCCACCACAAACGCTTCACCTGTATTTTACACAATGTTACATGTCTAGATTCTCAAAAATGCTTGTTTGTTCAGATAGCCTAATCTGCACCCAGCAGATTAATGTTGATAAGGGGCCTCTTAGAAGGTTAATCCATCTTTGAAATGAGGTTGAAAGGTGTGTAGATTCTGGGTCACAAAACCTTCTCAAAAATGAGCTAAAAGAGGCTTAAAAGCTCAATAGATCTGAGAGCAACAGCACAGCTGGTGATAATGTGTGGGTTCATCACTATGACAGTGACACTTGACACAGATCAGGTTGTGTTTGTGCACAATGCAGACCAGCTGAATACTGGGAAAGGAAATATTATAGGTAAATATTAGTTCTCACTGACACATACTGCTTGCAGCTTCAGTATCAGTCACTAGTAAATGACAAAGTGATTTTGTTTTTGCAGTTGGGACGACAGTAAGCCAGATCCTTTGTTTGCCTTTGTGCCTGCCACTGTACCCTGTTGATAATTTGATGCATTCCAACATCCATCCATCCGTTATCTATACCATTTATCCTGAAGAGGGCCGCGAGGGTGCTGGAGCCAATCTCAGCTAACGTTGCCTGAGAGGTGGGGTACTAATTTCCTTTTTCTTAGTAATGCTTCAAAGGGTGTGGTAGCACAGTGTTTTCCAGCATTACCTTTGTACAGACAGAATTTGTTGTTGTAACTCAACAAAGGTTGGGGCGCCTGTATTGTTGGCATCAATTTTCAAGGCTTCATTTACTTCCACTGCCCCAGAAAAGATATGTGTTCCTATTATTTGGTGCCTGAAAAATTCCTGTTTTATATGAAATTTACATACATTTTTAGTTTTAATGACTTTTTTGTTTTTTACCTCTAGCAGTTTACTTAGCTTTGTAGGTGATTCACTGGACTTGAACAGTCTAAATGTCAAAGTAAAAAACTGGAAAAATAGCTCACGCTAAACTTTTGAACAGTAGTGTATATTTTTAGCTGCCTTTAATAAACACCATTTCCTGTAAGGCTTAGTTGTTCATGGGCTAAGCGTCACAGCTCAACAGAAAAGTAAAAAAGTGGATTAACCCAGACATGATGTTATGACTTCAGTTCTTTAGTTTAAGTCATATTTAATTTAAAGAGCCCATGGCATGCCTTTCCTCGTTTTTGATACTGGACTACTTTGGGACTGCACATGGTCCTCTGGGGGTCCTGCACCGACCACCAGTTGGATTTACCAACCTTGGAGCTACTTGAAAGGGAGTGATGTTTCCACTACTCAGTAGGAATTAACAGTAAGTTAAAAAAAAAAAGCACACATTGCATAGCTGTTAATGCCTTGTTTTTTGTAGAGAGAATTGTTGTAAAGCTGGAGAAGTTACTATGTCTGCATTCTGACAGTTAAAATATGGGGTTTCTCAATTACCTACTTTGTTTATAGTGTTCTCTTTTCATTGGTACATACTATCTATGGAGGAGAAATTCAAATTAATTAATGCCGTTGCAGTTCATTGTGCTGTCCACTAGTGACACAACACCGGCAATAGGAGTTATGCATGTTCATGACCTATCCTCTCATTTTTAGGAAGAGGCTCCCTAGTTTTATCATTCTGAAATAATTACAGATTATTTGGAGTTATGAGGGAGGCAATGCTAATCCAAAGGTACCCAAGATTAAATGTTAAATGGCTGGAAATGAGCGAAATGAGCATGCCATGGGGACTTTAAATCATAGCTAAACAGCTGTGACAAGACGCAGTAGTCCATCTGCTTCATAAAGACAAGGTGCACTCCTCTTGAGACAGCAATGTACACACTGAG